TGTGTGTGCATATGTGTGTGTGCGCGCGTGCGTCCTGCATGTGTACGTGTATAGGTACCTATGTGTCGGCGCGTGCATGTATGTAGGTGTGTGTGGTTGCTTCTCACAACCGCTTCTTATTAAATTCATTTTGATCCATAATATACAAATAGAAATATACAATATTCCATATATTTGAGAAAGTACTTCTTTGAAACTGAATATTACGAACGGTTATAAATCATAAGTTAATGAGACATTTGACACTATAGTGTAAGTGAGTAATATACGTATTATTTCGCTTTCTTTCACCAATAATGATCCGTCGATGATGATTTTCAAGATGAAGAAATGTAAGCACATTATTTTATATAGACGGTTCTTCGTGCGTATGATTTATCAGTTATTTACATATAATAACCAAGAACTTAGGTTATGCAAAAAAAGGTCGAAAGCAGCAAGACCGAACAAGGGATTAGTGTTGATTAAATCAGTGCCACACACAGGAAGCGAAGTACAGCGGACTGAGACGATAAGAGCCGTATAAAAATCGTAAGAAAAACAGCTGGGGTTAAGTACTTACATCGTTCTCACATTAGAACCCGCTGCGTTACGATTAGGTCGTTCAACCCGTCGTCAGTAGCTGTCGACTTTTTTTCTCTTGTTCTTATTTGAACTTTCGATTGTGCAATAAGATTGTGTAATGCCTATTTTTAAATCGACAAATTTCAATTTGATTAATCGACAAATAAACGACGTCTCTCTCTCCTTATTAAATATATACGTATATACATGTATGTATAAATGAATATCAAGAAATACTTATTATCAATTGTAAATTAACTACATTGAAATAGTTATATGGAAGTTACATTTATAAATCCATTTTTAAATAAACGTTTGTTTTTATATATGTCACTATGAATGTCGTCGGTGAGCGCTGACACTGAATTAAATAGTACGAAAAGCCATTGGTCCGCTTCAATAAATGATATGCATTAAATTTAAAGGCAGATATAAATGCTGACACTGAATTAAACAGCGCGAAACGGTAAATCATCACCGCGCAACTGCCGGGTAATACTTGCGCTTATGAATAAGAGATGCGACTTATGTAAAATACCGTCCCATACGAAACGTAACATAAACATAATCCATTAGACATCCATATAATTTCCATAGATCCATGTGACTTAATATTTCCATAAGTAGACTTCTATTAGGTGTACAAATGAATAATCCAATTTTTTCAGCTACATTCAAGGTTTATTTTAAAAGAAAGTAAATTAAATTATTCAATCAAAGTATTCGCCGTTGCTTCCTATAACTTTAAGCCATCTTTCAGGCAGCTGATGAATTCCATCTCGGAAAAATGTTATGTCTTTGGACACGATAAAGTCGTCAAGCCATTTTCGGACTTCATCCACTGATTGGAAATGCATATCGAACAAGACGTGTTGCATCGACTGGAACAAGTGATAATCGGATGGAGCAATGTCTGGTGAATACGTCGGGTGCTGCAAGACGTCCCAGCCAAGACTCATTATGGTGTCTTTTGTATTGGAAGCAATGTGTGGCCTGGCGTTGTCATGCAACAATTTCACTGGACGTTCTCCTTTGCCAGTATACGGGCATTTTCGTTCCAATTCTTGACTCAAGCAGATTAATTGACGTTGGTAGCAGTCCGCAGTAACTGTTTCACCCGGTTCCAACAACTCATAATAAAGCACGCCCTTGATATCCCACCAAATGCAGAGAAAACCTTCTTTCCGAAGCGATTGGGTTTTGCGACCAATTTTGATGATTCGCCGGGATTTACCCATGACTTTCTGCGTTTCGGATTGTCATAGAGTATCCATTTCTCATCGCCCGTAACGATTTTCCACAAGAAAGACTTTCGACGCTGCTTATTGAGAAGAGAAAGACACGCTGCCATTCATTGATTTTTGTTGGTTTCAGTGAGTTCATGTGGAACCCATTTTCCTTCTTTCTGGATCTTTCTCATCTCATGTAGGCGTTTGAAAATCATTTGCTGCGTTACACCCAACTGTTCTGCAAGCTCTTTTTGTGTTTGTGCCGAATTCTCAGCGAGCAGTTGTTCCAAATCATCATTATCGCACTTCGGAGGGCTTCCAGGGCGTTATTTGTCGATTAGACTGAAATTACCGCTTTTAAACCGCTTAAACCAAAATGCGCACACATCATACGATACAACAAATCTCCTGAACGAAAACGAAACTAACGCTGACACTGACGTTCTATTAAGGATTCATCATATACAGCACATAACGGCTTACACAGTATTCTTTCCTGTTTGGAAGTAAAACAATAAAATATGACGGAAATGTTTGTTTTAATTTTCTATTTTAACTCAATGTCAAACAAACAATTCTTTATCGAATAACGTATTAAAAAAAAAAAAAAAGCTGGAAATATCAGCTGTTAAACGATAAGTTTAAACGAAAGGTTAAACGAAAAGTTATAGGATTTGAAATGAAGTTAGTTGTATTTAATGACAAGTAAAGCCATCTATTCATGAGAAATCACATAATTTTTTTTCCAACTTGATTAAGTTATTTAGATACTGGTATTCAGAGCCGAGAAATAATTTACAATTTTTGTAATATTTTATTTAATATCTTATTATTGTTAAAGATAAAAAATGCAACAATAAACCAATAATGAATTAAACATTATAAAAACAAAAACTTATTAAATAAAAATATAAACCACATAAATTGATGTTCCTCAGTTATATGATATATCGACATACGGCAATCTAAAATGGATAGAGTAACCGCATAAAGAACTTTGCGATTGTTCCTTATCTGCCGACATACGTCATTAATACGTTATATCAATGCAAGTCTGATGTCCACTACTCGTAAATCAAGCTATTCATACGGCTCCACTAGAAATAATCTAATGTAGTAAAGTCTGGTGACCTCGATGGTCAAGCATGAACCTTTTCACACCCAACCTATCCATTGACACAAGTAGTGTTCTGATGTTCTACTATTTATAAGTAACACTACTCAACTGTCACTCATCAATCGGAATGAAACTTTGCTCTCTTATAAAGCATTGATAAATATTGAAAATTCGTTTTTTATTTTTCCTCAAAACGCTTTTTAACCTCTTGACTGTCGGAGACAAATTGTACTTGTGGGACAAAAATGCGTTGACATAAAATTAACTCTGATGGTCATAAAACTCAGTATTCTAAGGTTTTTTGGGTCGCTAAATCCGAATATTAAAATTTTTAAATTCAAAATGGCGGATTTACTATGGCGGACACCAATTTCAAAAAACCAACATATTTTCATAAAACTCGGTATTCCAAGGTTTTTTTAAATCGTTGAATCCGAATATGATATCAAAATTCCAAAATTAGGATACCGAGAGTTCATCTAGCCAATAAAGGCAAGATTGAAAGTTTATCCAGCCAACGAAGGCAAGATGTAGAGTTCATCCAGCCTATAGATTTTCGGAGCAGGTGAGTACAAATCTAGGATTAATTTTCCAAAATTCAAAATGGCAGATCCAATATGGCGGGTATTAATTTTAAAAAATCAACATATTTTTATAAAACTCGCTATCCTAAGGCTTTTTAGATTGCTGAATCCGAATACATCAAAATTAAAAATGGCGAATCCAACGTGGCTGATATCAATTTCGAAAAATCAACATATTTTTATAAAACTCTGTACCCTAATTTTGGAATTTTGATATCATATTCGGATACATACATTCGACTTCCAATTCTTTTATCCCTAGAGCACAGTCGATCATTGATATCGAAAAGATATCGTTTTTAAAATGTCTAAAACAATACCTATATATATTATGAGATGAGAAGTTTCCTTACTAGGTTAGATCTTCACTAAGAATATAACAAATTGATTTACATGCTTTAGTAGCGTTTTTTCCTTGTTGGAATTCTAAGTGCAACATCAAATATATAATTTAACATCAGCTATCATGTTCACTATTGTTTGTAGAGGTTATGATTATATCGTTGTCTCATGTTATATGACGTTTAGAATATTTTAATGTTAACATTATAAAACCACGTGAAAATATTTCGCGTTTAAATAAATTTTCGAAAACTTAAAAAAACTCCAAAAATATAATGTCATATTTTTGACAAGTTTTTTGGCAAAAAGTTTTTAAAGAATGATTTTGCCTTTTCAAACCGTTTATTGGAATCAACTGAATAATGTAATTTATGTTTACGCCAAGTTTTATTAAAATAAAAATTTTGATTTCGAAATTTCCTTATTAAACGCATATATTTAGCACTGTTAACGTATTCAATTAAGTTTGGTACTATGACGTCTATCATACATTATATCGAACATTTTTAATAAACTTTTAAATGATGAGTTGTCATTACATCATAAAATTACCGTCATTGAATAGAAAAAAATAATATATGAGTAATAATTTCTTCGAATTGCATAGAAATTATAAAATATAAAGTGTTAAATGTTAAATATTTAGTCATACGTTTTACACTTTATATCTTGACTAATGTTTCCAGTGTAAAGAGTTAAAATTCTATAATTATGATTTACATCAACTGTCACAAAATCTACTTTCACGAAAAATATCTGTCTAGAATTCAGATGTAGCATAGCTCTATGTAATCTCTTCGTATTTCAACAGCTTTTTAGACGATTTTCAAAATGTTTTAATGCGATGAAATATAAATATTTAATAAAGAGTAAATATAGGAGAGTAAATATTTAAAATGCGCAGGAAAGATGGTTCTATGATTATGTGAAAAACTAAATACCAATTTTGTGAAAACTTTAGAAACTTTAGAGTACTGCTCTTCCTTAAGAAATATACCTCGAAGTTAATCTTACAGATACATCACTGGTAGCAAATACGGCACTATCGTATTAATGATACTTTAACTCGCTGATCGTTAATGAGTATCGGTTATCGTGCCCATTATTCTTCATATATAAGACGAGCACTCGATATTAAAGACTTATATTCGGACAAGGTGTCAATACGTCATCTATCTGCTTTGTGACATGTATAAAAAATTTGTAATCGTATTATTTGTTAGTATCTTATTTAGAAATTTCGCAGCGCGAAAAAGCGAAGAAAGTTAGTAAAAGTATATTCTTAATTTTTTTTATAAATTTTCGTTCAAACATACGGAAACTGTTAACTTCTATGAGAAAGTACTAACTAAAAAATGGCAAGAATTTTCTAAAAAGTTTCGTTCGTTATATAACATTCAATTACCATTATGGCAATCACGGTAAGATGTACAAATAACCATAGAAATGACTTCTATTGACCATGTATTTTATAAAATACATAACTAAACGATAGTGATAAATGACGATAAATTAGCAAGCTATACATTTTGTAAATATGGAATTGTATGTATAAACTAATTTCAATATATTTCTAATTGGTTTCTCTCATATTGTAATTTCATGGTGTATTCTACTATTCATGTCTATTTTCATCTATTTTGTATTATAATTTTAATATGTACGATTCTCATATTCTTACATTTTTTTACAGAATGTAAAGAATATGCTGATCTGGTTTACCAAACTGAGCATTCACCAGTTTTACGCTTCGATGTTGGCTCGAACAGAGTTTCCCATTGCGCAATTATCGAAACGCCTCTCATCATTGGCGGAGTCAAAGCAAAGTTTGCAGAATTTCCACATATGGTAAGAATAAACAACGTACAAAGAACAATATGAACGATGAACTATTTTAAAAACCGAAAGAAAATGGATTAAAATTATCAAATTTGTTGTTCTTTTATTTAAATAAAAAATTTTAATAACAAGTGTACACTGAACCTTAATGAAAAAAATACTCAAATATTAAGTGTTTACACTTGATTTTGTTCGAATTTACTCTCAAATGTGGATATACAGGGTGGAAGGTTATAAGTTTACAACTTGAAGTGTGAAGGTAGATTAGGTTAAGACAAACATAAAAGTCCCATACCGTTTTGCGAGATTCGCAATAATTATCGAGTTATTAATGATAGAAATCTGAGGAATGGGAACGCGCCGACATAGATGATTGGAGAAGCGTTGCAGCTACTCAGGTCACAGCGCGGCCCACTCGACCTAGCTACTGTTGGCGGCGTGCGGCAAGACGTAGGTCCGGCGAGATAAAACAACGAATAGCAGCGCATTGTCTTTCCCTCCGCCGCGTACCGGCAACAGTTTCTGAATCGACTGGGCCGCGCTGCGGCCTAAGCAGCTGCAACACTTCTCCAATCATTTACGCCAGCGCGCTCCCACTCCTCAGATTTCTGTCATTAATAACTCGATAATTATTGCGAATCTCGCAAAACGGTATGGGACTTTTATGTTTGTCTTAATCCAATCTACCTTCACACTTCGGGTTGTAAACGTATAACCCCCACCCTGTTATAAGTGTGATGTCCATAAAGTGTCCAAAAGTTCCTGGCAATAAAGAGTAAAAAAGGATGGCGGGTAATTTTTTCTGTTTATTTATTCAAAATAGAATTTATTAGATGTAATGCACAGGTTAGCATGTATTTGTAACTTCTTCATGGCATTAGAAAAGTCTTTTGGAAAAGTCTTTGGGAATCTTGTTTGGTTGGTTGGTCACGTTTTTTTGAATCTCTTCGGTTGTATCGAATCTTGCATTTTTCAGCTGTAACTTTATTTTCGGGAGCAGGAAATAGTCGGGAAGAGACAAATCTGACGGGTATGGAGAATGGTTCAATGTTGACACTTAGTTTTAAGTCAGAAACTGTCGAATTGTTGTCAAATGTTATCAAATGCTCCGGGTGTTATCGTGCAGGAAAAAAATCCGTAAAATCATAATTTTCAGGATGGCGAGTGTATTTGCTATTAACCGAGACGTCATTTTTCGATCTTCTTTGATCGACGGCAGTTGTTATCGGTTTGATTTTTTGTGGGCCGACCATTGTGTTCATCGTCTTTCATTGACTCTCTATGCTGACTTCTTGAAACTGTTTGTGCCATTCAAAAATTATTGTTTGACTTAATGGCGCGTCACTGTGAGCCGTAAGTTTTCTGAATCAGTTCCACAGACTTTGTAGCCGAAAAATCGATTTAGCAAAATTTATAGCAAAATTTAATCGCCACACGTTGTTTCTCCTTAACATCCATCTCACAACATTGACACAGAGTAACAGCACAGTTAGTGCGAGACATTTTGTCTTAACAAAAACTGTAACTACACGAACGCCAATTTGCATTCTTGTGAGAAACTGTTTTAACTATGTAATTCAATTGCAATCTGGTAGATGGTTGGTAAGAGAACGATAAAAGTTCAATCCAGGAATTTTTGAACAACACCGTGTATATTAAAATTTAAGTGTATATATCTGTATTTGAGAATAAATTTGAACAATTGAGTATAAACACTCAATAATTTGAGTATTTTTCTATTATGGAAATATATTTAGATGAGAAATTAAGGAAAAATTTAACATCGCGACTCAAAAATTTGACAAGCCTAATTGCATGTATTAAGAGAGCGACGTCCTATATTACGATATTATACTTTAAGACATAAGGATATCCTCAGAACGTTTTTAGAACGTCCTTTGAAGATCTGTACTATTTGGATATTTTAATTAATTTTAGTCAAAATCTTATCCTTATCAAAATCTTACCAAAATCTTATCAAAAAAGTTTTAACTTTTTTTTAACTAACTTTCTTTTTTTTAACTAATTTTTTTTCTTGTGCTTGAATATTAGGAATCTAGCTACACACACACACACACGCGCGCGCGCGCACACACGCACGTACGCACGTACACACACACGCACGTACGCACGCACACACACGTGCATGCACACGCACACACACACACGTACACGCACCGCACACGCACACGCACACGCACACGCACACACACTTTAGTTTCTCATATTTCCAAAATTATCTCTATGCTGAATTTACAATTTTTTTGAAATTAATGTTTCGTTATATAGCATCGTTTGGCATATAATTCGACTGGAGTTTCAAGGACCATAAAATGAGCCGTAAAACCTGTTTTTGGGTCATTCTTTGCATGTAATTTTTTTACGAATGCTTGATATATTATCTCACTTGCATATGAGTTAATGAAGGGTTAGCAATACAATATATTCCAATTTGAACGAAATCTATGATGACAAGATATGTCCTACCCTTTGTGAGCTATATATGATACATTCACATTTCGGTAAATTGCTTTTATAATAATCGACAATGTTGCAATTACGTTATAGGCAGCGATCGGTTACGGTGAGGACAAAGACATTAGCTGGCAATGCGGAGGAAGTATTATTTCCGAACATTTTATTCTGACAGCAGCGCATTGCGTGGAATCTCCAAGCAAGTAATAACCCAAATAACATTATAACATCTTAAAGACATCTACAAGACATTTAAAATTTCCGAAAGTGTCTCACAAGATTGTCGAAAAGACGTCTATATAATATCTCTAAAACGTTTTATGTTTCGATTTAAGATATAAAACATTAGTAACATTAATAAGATATTTATAAAATATATTTTAGTACATATACCTCAATAAATATAGAATATAATAGTTATAACTGATCACTCTTGCTAAAGAAGCATAGACAAATTCCGCGAATTTTTAAACTTCCGCAGAACAAAAGACAAAAGTTAGACATTAGGCTCGACTGCTGGTATCTATGAAAAATACATAAATAACTATCTCACGATCGCAAAATTGGGAGACCTTTTGGTCTCCATGGGACCAACAGCTCTTATTGGGTAACGCAAAAATTCATGTCTACTTTTTCAATAAAAATCATTTGATAATTTGGCATATAAAAATCTTCATCTAATCGACCAAGTACAGTTTGTTTGATAAGAGCGTACCATTTGACAAAGAAGTAATTTTCTTCAACATATTTCTCTCGCTAATAATGAAGGTAAAAATATTTATAATATATTAGGTGTACAACTTTGCTTCCGCCGTTTTTTTCCGAAATTCGAGGCTTTATTGTAAAAAACTGGTTATACATTTATGATTCAAAGTATTATTCATCGCTGGCCACTACTTTCTCCCATCTTTAGCAGCGTACAAATCCCGCGTTGAAAAAACTGGTCATCTTTTGAAGCGATCCACGAATCGATAAAATTTCTTACTTCTTCTTTTCTGGTCTTTTTCATAAGACCGGAAGTACTGGTCAACCAGGCCGTGTGCCATTGACCGAAACAAGTGATAGTCAGAGGGAGCAACGTCAGAGGGAGAATACGGCGGGTGGGGTAGGACTTCCCATTTCAACGTTTCCAAGTATATCTTGACCACTTTCGCAACATGGGGTCGAGCATTGTCATGCTGCAAAATCACTTTATCGTGTCTCTCGTTGTATTGCGGCCGTTTGTCTTTCAATGCTCGGCTCAAATGCATTAATTGCGTTCGATAATGATCGCCTGTGATTGTTTCAGTCAGGTTTTAACAGCTCATAATACACTACGCCGAGCTGGTCCTACCAAATACAGAGCATGACCTTGGAGCCGTGAATATTCGATTTGGTCGACGTGGATATGCCCATGATTTTCTGCGCTTGGGATTATCGTAATGAACTCATTTTTCGTCCCCAGTCACAATGCGATGCAGAAATCTCTTCCGTCTTTGCCTCTCAAGCAACTGTTCACAAGCAAACAAACGCCGTTCAACATCTCTCAGTTTCAACTTCATACGGCACCCAATTTCCTTGCTTCTGAATCATTCCCATGTCTTTGAGGCGTTTTGAAATTGCTTGTTGAGTCATTCCCAATTCTTCTTGACTTTGACACGAGTCTTCATTAAGTAATGCCTCCAATTCTGCATTCGAAAACCTTCTCTCTTCCACCGCTATGCCGGTCTTCGACGTGAAAATCACCGTTCTTTAAGCGTTGAAACCATTCACGACACGTTCTATCACTAACAGCGGCTTCAACATAAGTATTTGAGAGCATTCGATGAGCCTCAGCCGCAGATTTCTTCATATTGAAGCAGAAAATTAAAACCTCCCGCAAATGACGAGAATTTGGCTCGTAAACTGACATTTTCAATCGAGAATAACTTTATGATGTAGACACAAATCGACTAATGTTTCTATGGGGTTATATTAACAGATGCCCAAGTTTATTACATGACGTCTATGATCTATTTATTTCGACCACTATTTACCGCTAAAGCCATCTATAGGAAAACGGCGGAAGCAAAGTTGTACACCTAATAGTACCGTTAATCATTAGAAACTGCTATATTAGATCTGCCACTTTAGATTTTGTAATTTTAACTTTGGATTTGCATCATCAACGATCAGCTAAAAGAATATCAAAGTTAGCCACTTCAAGTCACCATATTGGATCCGCCATTTTGAATTTTATAATTTCGATTCTGGTGAACTTATCATTAATGACCAACAAAACATGAACATATCGAATATGATCTTCTCCATAATAGAATATCAAAATTAGCTACTTGAAACTGCCACATTGGATTCGCCATTATAGATTTCTTAAATTTGATTTCGGATTCATAATCAACAACCCAAAAAACATGGATGTACCAAGTTTGATGCAAATCCGTTGAAAATTGGCAGAGTTTTATAGTGCTTATATGATCATTATATGATCATTATCCGTTTTGGTATATCTTTTTCCGCCATACATACGTCATTACCAATGAGTCGATTATGGATTATGGATTATGAATTATGGAATATGGATGCCGTAAGGAAGCCGTAGGAGACATCTTCCCAATATCTTGTTCGCAATTCTATTTCGCGAGTATTCGTGGCTGTACAAGATTTCCTATCAAGATTACAAGATATCCTTACAAGATTGCCTTACAAGATAAATGATAATAACCGCGAATCACGTTATGCGCGCAAACGGGCGCACGAAACAAAAATTTCTTTCCACCGCCTTCTCTCATTGAGGAAGTGCAAACTTCCGACCGTTTTAGCTGGGCTAGAGGCTCAATGATGGGTAAAAATTTTGCCCCGTTGCCCACAAATTATAAAGATAAGTAGTTTGTTTATTACGGATCGGGTATAGGAAGTAGGCAGGGAAGGCACAACTCCCCGTCAGACGTAGGTGCTGACGTTGAGCTCCTGATGCGATGAGCTCATCGATGCATGTGATAACATTATACATATTTTTATAACTTTCATTAATGATTATGCGTATCATATCGAGTACTGCGAAGGAGGTCTGCGAAGTAAACACATATGATTGTACGACGAAATACAATAATCGACAGCGATGTGGCTCGGCATGAACAGATTAATGTAATCCATTGATATTTCTACCGTATCTATCATGATATCAACGCTGTTGATTTGAATAGTAATATCAAAGATATTAGGGATAATAATAAATTCTACATATCTTAATAAAGTTAAAAGTTGAAGAAGTAAAAATAACAATCCTAAGACCCGTGGAAAATATATAACTGGATATATTCAAATGTTCGAAATATTCACCTAACATCAACATTCATAACAACAAAATCCTTGTTAAAAAAATGATAAAAACAAAATGAAAAGCGGTATATGCTTGATTGAATGGCATATGAAAAATTACTGTTTCTCAAAATGGAGGGCTAATGATTTTTTAATCTCTCATAACTCTCTCGTAACTTTCGTAACTTTCATCTGTTTGAGGTAAGAATGAAGTGGAAAATGTTACAAACGGATACAAACCGAACGTAATCGAATGCATATATGAAGATTTTTGTTATTAATGTTAGGTCTCCTAAGTTCGCATAAAAGGTAGTATCGATATTTATACGCTACATCGTGCACATTGATTTATCAATATTTCTTCTCAATAGCTATATATTTCGTTAATAACTTAAAATGGTGATCAAATGATTATTTTCAAAATAATAACGATTCTATTATTCAGTTTGATGTGTTCTACTGATACGTTAGTACATTTTTCATCTTATATCTTGTATAATTGTATTTGCTAGGTTGGTTTCTGGTTATTTTGTTACGATTACTATTGCATTAATATTTCATTAATACACACATTAATATATCACTTTGTTAACAATTCTTGGTAAATGAGAAATCACATTGTTATTGATATTATATATTTCAGTGGACCCGCGACGAAAGTACGAGTTGGCTTGATTGATTTGTTGTCTCCAGGCGACGCTGTGCAGGAAAGAAAAATTGTGAAGAGTATAAAGCATCCGAATTATAAGCATGCAGTTAGCTATCATGACATAGCACTATTTAAACTCGATCAACCATTAGAACTAAACCCTAAAGTGCGGCCAGCATGTCTTGAAGCAAACTCGCAAATTCAAGGAAAAAGTGCCATCGCTTCTGGATTTGGAAAAACTTCTTATGGTTCGTATCTTCTCATTGTTTTGTGTTTTGATTTTACGACTTTATCGTACTTTATATTTTACAACGACGATATCTAGATTGAAAAGTTTCTTTCTGTACATAGTAAAACACACATTGAAGTTATCTATTGAGAAAATACGATATTAACTTTCTTTCCCACTCAATACTTAGAAATCTTTTATGTGTCGCATTTATTTCTATATTCCTATTATTTCGAAAATTTAACTTGTATATATGATAATTTGTAACGGGATTTGGCTGTGTAGAATCTAACGTTGGCAGCAACGAGTTAATGAAAGTTCAGTTGGATTATATATCAGAAGACGATTGTAAAAAAAGTTATACCGAGGACCTCGGTTCTCGGCGATTACCTCAAGGCCTCATACCAAATCTACTTTGCGCTGGTATAATGGAAGGAGGCAAAGATACCTGCCAGGTCTGTGTAGTTTGTTTTTGTATATATTATTCTTTAAATTCTTAAAATTCTTAAATTATTCTTTAAATCGCGTTAAGATGCATTGAAATGCTTAAACTGATTTAGAATATAATTTAAAATATGAAACGCATATAACATTAGATCAATCATTGAAGTTAAGGTTTTATTTCACTGTTAAAGAAATATGAATATGAAAATGTACATGTTATAACACTTCTAATATTCTTTGTATGGTGTACATTACGAATTTAAAAAAAAAAATTAAAAATGTTACTGCGTTCTAGGCATGTTAAGTATTTCTGTGTGAGCTTTACTTTTATTTTTTTCTAAATCTTATTTTTTCCAACTTTCTATGTTTGTATATTTGTATAAATACATGGTTATAATGGACTGTAACATATATAGACGGGGTTGGGAAGTAAACATGTTCAAAGTAATATGTTACTATTATAAGTTATTTATAGTAGTAACGTATTGCCAGTAACACACGAAAATACGAAAAGACTTTCTGATCAACTTGATATTATAAATTTAACTGTAATATAAAATATTTGAATTATTTTATAAAAAATTATAACACAGAAAAGAGACGTAATATTAATTTAAATTTTTTCTTTTCATAAATGTTCTTTCCCTAATTTTGAAAAAATTTAATATTGTTACGAAAATCTTCGATTATTTTAAATATATGAAAAATTAGGAAAATAATATATAAGAGAGAGAGAGAGAGAGAGAGAGAGGGGGAAGGGAGAGGGGGGAGAGGGGGAGAGAGGGGGAGAGTTTAATAAAAGTTCAGTTTCTTATAAGATTTTATATTCTTATTAATGACAAGAAAATAACTCTGCATACACATAAATAAAAAATTGTATTAAAAAATTAAAAATTAATTAATTATTAATTGTTACTAAATAAATAAATAATTTATTATTATCATTAAAAATTGAATTATTTTAAAAAAACATAGGAAATGTCTTACATTTTTTAATTTAATATTTAAGAGAAAACAAATTTTCAGAAAATACTTTTTTCAGACATTTTTACATGAATAACATATAGAAACGCACATTTATATTTAGATTGTAACATATTTTATGCAGAACAAATATATAGAGTGTCCGGTAATTAGCTGCCAATCCGAAGTATGAAGGTAGATTGAGTTAAACTGAAAAGAAAAATAAAGTACAATTTTGCAGGAATATTATAGAGTTATTAATGATAGAAATTTGACGAATGAGCGCGCGCCGAGATGATGGTTGGAGGAATGTCGCAGCCTCACGGGCCATAATGCGGCCCAGTTGATCTAGCAATTGTTGGCGGCGTCCTTCCTCTTGCCGCACATTGGCAACAGTTTCTGGATCGACTAGGCTCTGTGGCCCGAGCGGCTGCAACGCTTCTCTAATCATCTATGTCGGCGCGCTCCCATTTCTCAGATTTCTGTCATTAATAACTCGATAATTATTACGATTCTTGCAAAATTGTATTTTTCTTTTCTTCTCAGCTTAATTCAATCTACCTTCACACTTCGGGTTGGCAGCTAATTACCGGACACCCTGTATATGTTATGTATCAGAATTAGGAAAAAAATTTAAATAATTTTTAATTCTCTACTATTTTATTTGCAGGGTGATAGCGGTGGTCCCTTACAAAGAGTTCTTGTAGAACCTTATTGCATGTATAGCATTGTGGGTGTGACGAGCTTCGGCAAGTTTTGTGCTTTTAAATCTATGCCTGCGGTGTATACTAAAGTCAGTTCTTACACTGATTGGATTGAGAACATTGTTTGGCCATAAAACATCTAACTTTGAAAGATATTAAATTTATATTAACACACATATATCTGGTTTCAATCTTTACGATTATAATTGTAAAATGTATACAGGGTATCCCAAATTGTAACATACCAACGCATTAGGGACGTAGAGCTAAGCGAAAGAAACAAAAAAGTCCTCTTTCAATTAGCGATATTTCGCATAGTTTTTTAATAATAACCGCGTAAAGTTTGGCGTTTGTCACACTCATCACGGCCTATAGACGCTCCGCGGTGAACTGTATGCGTCGAGGTATGCCCCAGTGTTGGGGGCATTTAAGGCCCGGTCCAGGGTATCGATCATGTAACTTTTCCCCTAGAGTAAAAAGTGAAAGTGAAAAGTGAAAAATTAGTGGTGGTCCACAAATATTCATATTCATTAATATTTTATAAACTTTTATATATTTTTTAATACTATTTACAATAATATGTGTAACGTTTTATTTAAATTTATTATTTGCTGCAGTTTACTTACCGATATAAAAGAATAAGTTGACTCTCCAATATTTCAAAAGGATTAGATATATCGCGTAAATCCTTTATATCCTTCCCATACAGTACATCACCGTTGCAGCAACATTGCAGGAACGTTGTTTTGTAAGATTGCAACATTGCAGAAACGATGCCAAATGTTGCTGCAATCTTGCAGCGAAGGTAAAATATCCGCTTGCAACAATATTGCAATAACATTGCAGTGTAACATTGCAGCAACATTTGTAATATAATTTGTATGCAATAATGTTTTATATATATATATATATACACATATGATATATAGAGTGTTTAACAGCATCCATATCAAAGCTAATATGAGGGTAGTCCCAGAAGTACCTGACCTAACAAAGAAAACATAAAAAATTTGGGAAAAAATATCTTTATTTCTCTACATAGTCTCCTTTTAGCTCAATACACTTTTCCCAGCGTTCAATAGCTTCGATACCCTATTTATAGTGGGAATCGTCGAGCTCCTCAAAATAGCCATCAAGCTATCTTAGTCCATTGTTTTGACTGTTCCTTCGTCTCAGGTGTGAAGTGATGGACCCATGTTTCATCCATGGTCATGAATCGACGCAAAAACTCGGTTTTATTGTTGTGAAACTTCGCCAAACACTCGATTGAAACATCATCATGATGCTGTTTTTGTTCCATTGTGAGTAATCGCGGCATCCATCTTGCGCATAGCTTTCTCATGTCTAAATTTTCAGTCAATATGCGATGTACAGTACTTTTTGAAATGTCTACCATGTCTGCTAACTCGCGCACTTTCAGTCGACGATCATCCAATACCATTTTGTGGATTTTCTTCACCATTTCTAGCGTGGTCATCTCATTTGGTCGACCACTGCGATGTTCATCTTGGCAGCTCGTACGGCCTCGTTTAAACTCTGCCACCCAATATTTTACTGCTGTAAACGAAGGAGCAGACTCCCCCAGCTTTGATATTGGTTGGACTGAGGCTTTTCAAATGAAAGTATTGTATCACATAACGATGACCAATTTTTTCCATGTTTACAAATTCACTGAGAGCGTTCACTATTGATGGCTGCCAAACAAATACTAAACAACGTAGCGTCGTCAAACTTCAAACTTAAGCTTTATAAGGTTGGTACTTTCTACCATAGTCATTCTTTTCAAACAACAACCGCTATCTATACGTCAGGTCAGGTACTTCTGGGACTATATAACGTATATAACTAAAATAGATCGTGGTTAGTAATGGAATTGATGTCTTTTTTTAATCAACCACGTGAAATTTTAAGATATTAACGATAAAAAATTTCATATATTCATGTTGATTCTATTCTAGCTATATACTAATTTTGGTAAAGATACTGTTAAATACATTGTATATGTATTGAGAGTATCTCCTGGAGACTCTGTGAGTCTTTATTTAATGACGGCAGAAGCGAAAGATCGTATGCCAAAAATTGTTTTAGTTATATAGATACATTCCAGAAGATAATATTTGTGATCGATCTCACAAATTTATAAAATGTTCTGGACACACTTTCCTCTTGTTGTGACAATCAATAATTTTCCATTAAAATTCTGTAACAATAATCATGAGAGATCATATATTCAAATCAACATTTGTATAAATTTTACTAATTATTTACAGTGAATGATGATCATACAGCAAAAGAAAAGTGTTCGGAACTTTTTACAAATTTGTAAAATCGATCATAAGTGTCGTTTTATGGAAATCTCTTTTATTTTAACGTACATGAAAAAAAGATTAATATACCATTGTTTTCATTTCTGACATCAAACAAGAATAATCACAGAAAGTACCTAAGCTCTGTAATATTTCAAAGAGTAAAATGATATCTTAAAAAGACGCAGTTTTATTGACTCAATAAAACGTCAATTAAGATGTCATCTTGCTATTTGGAATAATACAAGTCTTAAAGACTTGCGGTAATTATTTTTGAATTAATAAGACGTCTAAGTTAGGGATATGAAACTAAATCATTGTAAAACCAAATCGTAGTGATTAAATATAATTGGTGATTAAATATGAGAATTAGAGCAATATACAAAGTGTCCCATAATTGTAATATACCAACTCCATAGGGGCGTAAAGCTAAGCGAGAGGAACGAAAAAAACCTCTTCTATTTAGCGATATCTCATATAATTTTTTAATAATAACTGCAATTTAAAATGTTGCTACAACATTGCAGATATAATAATGCAAAATATTGTTTTTACAATGTCTCTGCAATATATTGCACTGCAATGTTGCAACATTGCAGCAATATTGCTGCAATTGTCTGTGCTGTATAGGTTAAATTTCTTCTTTCTTCTTCTGCGTTTGCAACTTGAAATAGTCACCATGCAGCCATAATAAATATTAATAAAAATTAATAAAAATACTAATATGATGCAATTTGTGCGAAGACAGGAAAATTAATGCGCGCACGATCGACAGATTTTCAACGCAGTAGTAATAATATTATATTCCGTATTCGTCGTATCACTAGATTTTCACTTTTCCGCTAACAAGTTTAATGACGAAAAGTTTACGTGAAAAGTTTACGTTTCCATGTTTCCCCTAGTTGTATGATCACGGCTAAACAACAAAATTACAAAAAGATGTTTTAAGAACATCCAAATGATGTTCTATCTTTTTTTAAATGTCTTTTAGACGCACACATGATATTTTGGAGTATTTTGTGTTGTTTGGGCGACTTCACGAGAAATCTTTCACTTTTCACTTTTCACTCTAGGGGAAAAGTTACGTGATCGATAGCCAGAATGGGTTGCAAACACCTTTAGTTTCATCGGGCCTTCTGTGCATGCAATTTACGTTAAGCCGTAATCACACTAGCGATTGCCGATTGGATTACGATTGCGATTGGCGAAAAAATAGAGCATTATCTAAACGGCAATCACCAATTTCAATCGGTGCCTGTTTTGTCCTGATTGATTGAAAAGTAATCGCCAATTGTCAATCGCAATTGCAATCCAATTGGCAATCGCTAGTATGATTACTGCTTTACGCGTATAATTGTTTATCATACTCGTACCAGAGAGAAGGAGAGGTGTCAGGGGCCGCTTTTAGCTGAGCCAAGTGCGAAGCGCTCTTTGTACAACCGTGCACATGAATTAACGACGTCAGTGTCCACGATTCTTTACTGATTTCCCCCACCATGTACGCACACATAACCGGCTCGGTCTATCCGTGTCACACAAATAGACCAAGCCGCCTAAAAACGGCCCATGGCCCCTCTCCTTCTTCTCTCTGTACCAGAGAGGAACGTGAGAGCGGTCAACATGGGGTGTTTACGATAAATTGAGTTCAAGTTAGTTCCACTAGGACTGAAAGATATGATAGGCACGACCATCTATTATCTTCATGATTTATGACAACTCATGGTGTCCGATAAATCGAGTAGAGTAGAGTAGAGTAGGCTAACTTAGCAGTGTTCGTGTGAGACAATCAACAATATTTTATTAGATAATAAAGTTTTGTAAAATGTTAAATAATTACATTAAAAGACAATAAGATATTAAATTTTAGGAAAATTATAAATATTTATTTGAAGTAATTATGAAAATATATATTTGTAGAATATTCAAAGTAGGAAATTCAATTATTCTAACCTATTTATGAATATTCTTTTCACATTATCTATTTTTACAGAACAAAAGTTCTCTTTTTAAAATATAATACATATATGTATTGTTGATGACATATAAAATATTTTTGATTGCTCGCACGAACACTGCTAAAGCCAACAGCACACGGTGCTTGTTTTAGTGCTGGGTTGCTTGCTAAATAAAAATACTGCGTCCTGATTGGTACATTTCCGAAGATGGATGGAAATGCACCAATCAGAACGCAGTATTTTTATACAGCAGCAATCCAGCACGAAAACCAGCACCGTGTGCCGCTGGCTTTAGTTTACTCTACTCTACTCGATTTATCGGACAGCATTGAGTTGTCATAAATCATGAAGATAGTAGATGGTCGTGCCTATCATACTTTTCAGTCCTTGTGGAACTAACTCGAACTCGATTCATCGTAAACACCCACGGCGACACCGACTTTCCGCACTGGGAAAGGGCGCCATCTGCATCCATTTTGAGAGAGAAACTACGATGCTACATCCACTTTCAGGTTTCGACGGTAAAACCTGCATGTAGTGGCAGTCCGTGCTACATCCATTTTCAGCCGGTTTATGTCCGTGCTACAACCATAATAGCGTACTTAACAAGCACGGTCTCGCACATTGTTACGCGTTTATAACATGAATTAACATGTTAACATGTGCAAGAAAAAAGAATTGACGTTGTGTATGATTAATATCATGAAGATCATACGAGGTGTCCGGTAATTAAGGTAGATTGGGTTGAGAGAAACATAAAAGTCCCATACCGTTTTGTGAGATTCGCAATAATTATCAAGTTATTAATGACAGAAATCTGAGGAATAGAAGCGCGCCGACATAGATGATTGGAGAAGCATTGCAGCTGCTCAAGGCAGCGATCATGAATCTTTTCCCTAGCGTGAACTAGTGAAAAATGAAAGACTTTTGTGAATCAGTGAAAAATGAAAAATTTTATATGAATTTGTGAAAATCGAAACATTTCACACGACAACTAAGTCGTTCAATATGGCAGTTGCATCCTGGATAATTCTTAATGAATATCAAAGAAATCAAAATGATCAAAATAATAATGTCCGTGTAGGCCGAAGGATATTACGTGACACGCAAAATTTCTTTGATATAATATCCAAAGCAAATGTTTCAAAATATGTATGTACGTATCGGAAGATATCAAAGACTATTAATACAGAAAATAAG